ACACTCACGGAAGCAGCAGTCAAGTGATCAAACAACGTATTGCATTAGGCAAATCTGCTGCATAAGACCTTTTTTAAGTGTTGAAGAGCAAAGATATCAGCTTGAGTACTAAGGTATTTTCAATAATCTCATATGCATGCTAAAGCTGGACAGTGAATAAGGAAGACGTTAGAAGAATTGATGACTTCAAGTTATGGTGTTGGAGGAGAATATTGAAAGTGCCATGGGCTGCCAAAAGAACCAATAGATCTGTTTTGGAAGAAGTGCAGCCAGAGTTCTCCTCAAACGCCAAGATGGCCAAACTTTGTCTCTCATACTTTGGACATATTGTCAGGAGGGAGCAGTCGTTGGAGAAGGATATCATGTTTGGTAAGGTGGAGGGTCAGAGAAAAAGAAGAAGACCCCAATGAGGTGGATTGGCCAAGTGGCAGCATCGATGGACTCAAGTGTGGCTACAGTAGTGAGGTTGGCCCAGGATTGGGCGGTGTTTCATTCTGCTGTGCATAAGGTCGCTATGGGTCGGTACTAACTCGATGGCACCTAACAACAACAACAACAACAAGGGTCTTTTTTTAGTACATATACATTTATAATGGTTATATCCTCTGGATTAGTTGACCCTTTAATCATTATATAGTTTCCTCTTTGTCTCCTATGCTAGCCTTTATTTCAAAGGTTATTTTATTAGAGTTAATATTCTACTCCAGGTCATTTTTAGTGCCATTAACTTGATATATGTTTTCCATCTTTTGACTTTTAGTCTATTTTGGTCTTTATAATTAAGGTGTGTCTCTCGCAGACAGCACAAAGAGACAGTACACTGAAGAGTCTTATATTCCTATATATTCTACTACAATGTGTATCTTGATTGGTGCATTCAATTCCTTATACTCAGTGTACTTATCAATAGGTATAAATGGATTACTGTCATTTTACTTACTGATACTGCTGGTTTCTTTATTCCACATAATTGTTTGCGCTGAGTTCATTTTGGGGTTGGATTTTGGGTGTGTATGTGTGATTTTCTTTGTTGCTGTTGTTTTAGAGTTTATTGAATTTTTATGAAACTCTCCTTTTTATTTTTTGAGGAGACAGTTTATTAACATTCTTTGAGGTTTCTCTGTAATTTATTAATTTCTTCCCAAGTTTAAAGAAGTCTACTCAGAATCTACTGATTTCCTCCTCATTTGGAAGTTATATAACTACACTATTCCCTGCTTTTACATTGTGATTGTTGTTGTTTTTACAAATTGGTATCTCTGGTTGCCTATTTTCAGACTTGTAGGTGTATTTTACTTTGAATACTTCTATATGTGCTGAGTTCTGGATGATATTGTGGTGTATTTTACTCTCAGATTGTTGTCTCCTGTTGTTGGTTCTTTGTCCAAAGAATTCCCATTGGTATTTTTTGTCAGAGTGGTCTGGTTTTATAAATTCTGGGTGGATGATGGCCAGTTTTTTTTATTCAGAGTTTTGTATATGTCATCCCATTGCCTTCTTGCCTGTATGGTTTCTGCTGAGAAATCACAGCTTAGTTTTACTGGTTCTCCTTTGTACGAAAATTTTTATTTTTACAGTACTGCTCTCGGGTTTCTTTCCTTGGTTTTGGCTTTAGCAAGTTTTATTATAATATGTCTTGGTGATTTTTTCTTTTTTTTAAAAGGCTATTGTGTTTGTGATTTGTTCAGTGTCTTGAATGCATATCTTCATACTTTACATGATGTTATGAAAGTTTTCTTCCAGCAGCTCTTTGTAACCTTTCTCTGTGGTTTTGTTTGTCTTTCCTCTTTGGAATTCCATTAACACATAAATTGTTCCTCTTGATAGTGTCACACATAATTCTTAGGCTTTTTTCGGATTTGTTTTGTTCTTTTTTTGCTGATAGTTTTCTGTTATTGCTAAGTGCCATTGAATCCATTCCAACTCACAGTTATGCTGAGTTACAAATGGTGGATTGAAACTACTGAACTCATTGTTCATACTGACCTTGTGGTCTAGTGCTTATCCTACAGTACCACACCAGGATTCTGTTCCTCTAGCAGGTAAATATTGAAAGATTTGTTTTCAGGCTCGCTAATTTGGCCTGTCATAGATTCAGTGCTACTCCTTTGCCCTTTCAGTGTATTGTCTATTTCTGAAATCTTAGTATTAAGATTTAAATCTGGAGTTATAAATATAAATCTTAAATAAATATAAATCTTTTAAGTAAATATAAATCTTTTGGACTTATATTTACTATTTTTGTATGGTTTGTAATATTTCATTTAGTTTGTGAGTTTGTTCTTATAATATTTTCCTAAAGTCATAAAATTTTGACTGTTTTCCCTGATTACATCTGTGGTTTTTGTGACCATTCTTTCGGTCTATCATTCTGTTGAATTCCTTATCAGATAGTCGCAATACCATTTCCAGTATTCTATTTTTTGGCTTTGTATTTTGGTCAATGTCTTGTTTCCTCATGTGAACTGAAGTTGTCTGTTGTCTCCAAGACATATGGTATCATTGTATTTATATTTAATCAACGCTTATATGTTTCTGTGTTTTTATGTGCTCACCCTCTGTCTCTTGGAGGGTGTGATAGAGACTATAGTATTGATTTTTTTTTAGAAATGTCATGGAGCAATAATCTGAGAGTCAACACTACTTCCTGGGATTGTCAGGATCACTCAAAGTGCTTAGTAATGGGTATAAACAGCTCATGCCCAGAGAGCAGGGAGGAAGTGGGAAGAGGAATCAGGGGAGATGGAACATAAAAATTTTTGAGTTTCAAAAGTTCACTTTAGAAAGGATAAATTTTTATTATTTTTTTTTCCCCTGTGAGACACAGAAAGGAAGGTAGAGAGCTTTGTGTGTGATACTGGAGAAAATGCTAAGGCCAAATTTCCATATTCTCAGTAAAATGAGAGAGGAGGTTACCTGCTAAAGTGATCTTCAAAATGGGAGCTTCAGGCTGGATATTGTTTGCATGGAAAGCAACAAAGAGGAGGAAGAATACAGAGTTTACAGAGGAGTGGGAGTGCTCAAAATTGACCATGTCATTCTCATTTCAAGTTTTTCATCAGAATTGTTTGACTAGGAAGGAAAGTATATGTTCTACCCCCACCCTGCTTGGATTGTACTAATTTTGTGGTTTGTCCTGGAACACAGTAGAAAAAACAAAACAAAAAACAAAAGAGCTGCTGACAAGTAAACTATACTGTTTGGCTTCGTGTATCTTTCTTAATTCCTGAGCAGAGACTGGTAAGAGCCAAACACGGACACAGGAGTTTAGGATGACATTAATTGAAAGTGCAATTTGTACATATTTTAAACCAAGGAAGTAATCAGACCCTACACTCTCTCCTACTACCACTCCCTTGTAACACATCATGTCTATTCTGATAATTTTGTGCTTTTTTTTTTTTTCCTTGCAGGAATCTTGGCTAAAATTATTTCTTCACCTTACCAGTCTTCCCCTGTCCATTCATACCTTGCTTATACTTAACTAGTTTTCATCTTTCAAGACCTTGGCTTTAACTTTACCTCCTTCATATGCTGTTTACTGCCTTAGCTGTTCTGCTCTCTGAATAGTGACTTCTGTGCAGTTCCAATCTTTATTTTTGTATTTTCTTATTTTCTTAAATGGGCTGTAATTTTCCTGTGGGAAAGAACATATCTTCTGTTTCTTATAAATCTATTCCTCATAAACTAATAAAAGGCAAGCTATTGTTAAGTGCCATCGAGTTGGTTCCGACCCACAGCAACCCTGTATAGGATTTCCAAGAAGTGGCTGGTGAGCAGGCATGTGCTAAGTGTTAATAAAATGTTTATGTATTCAGTCATTTATGATTGATGTTTTATTTTCCACTAGTTGCTATTCCTCTAGTTGATATTTAAATATTTATAATCTCTATACTTATGTTTTTCTGATGTTGCTACAGATAACAATCAATAGAGTTACTTTTTTTTTTTTTTTTTTAGTGGTTCAGGTATTCTTAATAAGCCTTATTAATTAAGTAAACAATTTAAAGGAATTTTCTTTTAAATGAACTCTTTATTATGAATTAGGTGAAGGTTTACAGAGCAGAATGATTTTCTATTCAATAATTCAGAACCATTTTGTTTTGGAAGGATTATTTTAAATTTAAGTTTTACTTTTGTTTCTTCATCTTCTTGGTTATGTACATACTCAGTTAGGCCCAAGTCATGGCTTTAAGGCTGTCGTGGTAAGCTGGCAGAGGATCCTTGGTTTAAGGTGTCCCTTCTTCCCCTATTTGAGATGTGTTTGGCTGTTATATGCTCCTTCATATCCCCCCCCCCCCGCATTTCATCTTTTATGATAAAATTTTACATCTTAGGCTTTGTATCTTTATCCCTTCCTATATAGACAACATGAAGCCATGGTATATTTGATATGTATAGTAAAGAGAAATGCTGTAATAAAAGTATAGGAGATAACTTCTTTTAAATTCAACTCACTCATTATTAGTAAAGCCACTTATCTTGTAAGCTGATTGTTATTAGCCTAGTGTAAATTATATTAATTTACAGGGAGAAGTCCTAGTGTGTCACTGTAAGATTAGCACTTGCAAACCACAAGGCTGGCAGTTCAACCCTGCCAGACACTCCTTGGAAACCCTATACAGAGTTGCTATGAGTCAGAACCAACTGGATGGTACTTGACAATAACAACAACAATTTGCAAGGACCCCAGGAGGTGCAATGATTAAGCGCGGTTTGAGTCCCCCAGCCACTCCATGGGAGAAAAGACCTGGCAATGTGCTCTCATAAAGATTACAGCTAAGAAAACCCTATGAGTCAGTTCTGCTCTGTTCTGTAAGGGCACTATCAATTGGAATTGGCCCCCCAGCACACCATACAACAGTGGTAATTTGAATGGCTCATTCAAGCCAAGGAACTTTTTAATGGTCAACAAATGCAAAAGAAAAATTAAGTTGAATAATAAGTTTATTACAAAGATATATATCTGACCTAGAAAAATGTATTTGTGTTTATTTCAGGAATCAAACATCTTAAGTCCAATGCAAGATGGAACAAAGAAACCTCAGATTGACAGCAATAAGAGTAACAACTACCGGATTGTTAAGGAGGTTAGCAGATATAAACTATTTTTGCATAGATTTTTATTTGCATGACATATAATTTTTAAAATATATTTTATTCAGTGTTTTTATTTGGTCTAACTAAATTTTTTTTTCTCCCCTTAAGATTTTGATTAGGCTAAGTAAACTCTGTGTACAAAACAAAAAGTGTCGAAATCAACATCAGCGGTTACTGAAAAACATGGGTGCACATTCAGTGGTGCTGGATCTTCTGCAGATACCCTATGAAAAGGTTCGTTCTCAGTTACTGTTTTCTTTACCTTTTCATTGTGACACCATCTCAAATGTATACAAAGTTCTAAAAACACTTTTTCCTCAGTGAAGTATTTGAGAAAAAGTTGCCAACCTGACACCCATCATCCATGACCACTTTAGTGTGTATGCATTTCCAACAGCAAGGACACTCTTCTACATAAACACACTGTAACCTTCCAGACCAGAAGAGAACATGACGCTTCACTGCACCTCATCTTCAAGCCCATTCAGGTTTCTCTCATTGTCCGAGCCATGTCTTATATGATAGATGGCTCTGATTCAGAGTCATGTGCTCTGTCTAGTTGTCACTCATGTCTATCTAAGTAAGTAAATCTCATTACTGTGATTTCCCTCATAACCTTGAGACTTGAAGCCTAAACCAGTTATTTTGAAGAATGTCTCCCAATTTTAATTTACTTTTTTATTTATTTTTGTAAGTTTGAACTTTTGGATTCTCATTTTATCCAATAGTTGATAATAGATTACTGTCACTGTTTATTCTGATTCTCAGATTACCCCACATTTGGCCAGTGGAACCACTTCATGCTGGCTGCTGGCTTCCTGTCCTCCTAATGTGTCCCCATCATTCTTTGAATACTTCCTTGCTTTCTGGCACGATAAAGTATTCCAAGTTCATCTTGTGTTCTCCAACTCTGGAATTAGCAATTTCTTCAAGAAGCTTCAGTTTCTTTTGGTGGAGAATGGTATTTCAAAGCAAAGTTTTGAGTTTTCAGTGTGCTTTTTGCTATTGGAATATTGCTACTCCCTAGCCCTTTAAATTGACAGAGCTGGGAAACATATGTATTATGTATATATGTGTACATCTATGTACACACATAAGCACACATATACAATTACATTACCTTTACTTTACTATCTGTATTATTGCAAACTATGGGCTCTTGCTGATGCCTCTAATTACAGCACCACAGAATTCTTTAGTTTTGCTTTTCCATGTTGTACCACTTTTCTGAAGGAGCTCTGGTAGCATAGTTGTTATGAATAAAGTGAATAAAGAATTTATTTATATGTGAATAAACCCGGAGCAGATAAAGCAAAAAGCAAAATACAAATGAAAATGAAAGACAAAGTAAATAGCCTAACTAGGGTACAGAGACATTGAAAAGAATAAAAATAAGGTGAAAAATATGTGTAGAGTAAATTTTACAGGGTCAGGAAGTGAGTGTGGAGGATGAAAAATGTAGAGACTAAAGAGATGTTGAGAGAACAGTGAAAGGGAGGTATACATGAAAGAGAAGGTTCTAGAAAGTGGGGCAAGTGAAGAAACAAAAAAGTGAAACAATCAGATATTAGACACACTAAGAAACAGAGAAACATGAGAAGCAAGAAGCAGGGAGAAACAGACAATGAGGATGATAGAGAGAGAGGAAGGGAAGACAGGAAGTATGGGGATACAGATGGGAGAAAGAAGCCACTATAGACACAAATGGGAAAACAATGGACAGTCAGAAAAATTGAGAGGCAATATGGGCTGTGAAATCAAGAGAATTAAAACAGTAGAGATGAGCAGATACAGGAGGAGAAATGAAGAGAAAGTGAAAAATAGATCTAGAAAACAGAGAGGGGGCAGTGGAAGGAAACTGGGAGAAGGAAGTTGTTGTTGTTACGTGCCATTGAGTTGGTTCCGACCCATAGCAAACCTCCACAGGGTTTCCGGAGTGACTGGTGAGCTTGAACCACCAACCTTGCAGTTCAAACCGACTGTGCAGTCTAGCGCATTAACCCGCAGTGCCACACCAGGACTCTTTGGAGAAGGATAGAAACAGAAAAGGCACAGAAAAAGCAGAACACAGAAAGAGTATGTCAGAGCAAAAAAAATAAGTGCAAAAGAAAGTATTATTGATAATATTTTTATTATGTTAATATATAAATACTATAGTTTTAAATCCTATTTTTATTGTTTCTCTGTTTTGTGTGCTACTTTATTACTTACAGAATGATGAAAAGATGAATGAAGTAATGAATCTAGCCCACACATTCCTACAGAATTTCTGTCGGGGAAATCCACAGAATCAAGTTCTTCTTCATAAACACCTGAATTTGTTTTTAACTCCTGGCGTAAGTATTTTAATGACTCCTATAAATAAATTTAAAGAATATTAGAGTAGAGTGTCCATCAGATTTGTTTAATAGCATTGATAATAAGAATTTAATAATTTTAATCACTTCATTTTGCCCTTGTAAAATGGAGTGAATTTTCTTTTCGCTAAGGAGCTCTGGTAGCATAGTGGTTATGAATTGGGCTGTGAACTGCAAGGTCAGCAGTTTGAAACTACCAGCTGTTCCGCAGGAGAAAGAGGCGGCTTTCTGCTCCCGTAAAAATGTATAGCCTTGGAAACACTGTACAGGGTTGCTATGAGTCAGAACCAACTCCACGGCACATAACAATGGAAACATTTAAAGAAACTTGAAAAATTACATCAATTTAACCTGAAAATGACAATTTCATTCATAAGTATGTATGTGGTTTAATGTAAGAAAAGAAATCTGGTTGAACAAAGGACTAACTATAATTCTATGAGTAAGATAAATATGGAAAACTCAAAGGTAGAGTTAATCCCTACTGGTTTTTAAAGTAAGGAGCCCTGGCGGTGCTGTAGGATAAGCACTGGACTGTTAATCACAAGGTTAGCAGTTCAAATCCACTAGTTGCTCCATGAAAGAAAGATGAAATTTTCTGCTCCTGTAAAGATTTACAGTCTTGAAAACCCTATCTAGGGTTTCAATGAGTTTGAATCAACTTGATGGTACTGGGTTTTTTTGGTTCTTTTTTCATCTTTTGTTTTTTTGTTGTTAGAGTGTTTACAAATACTAGTGAAGAAATAACTCTGAATAATAGATAGTTAAATGAATCTCAAGACTACTGTTGACAATATGATGAACTTAATGATAATAAGCTCCTTTTCCCAACTAAATTCCCTTGTGAGTTCAATTTTCTTTGGATAGTTAATGGTCACATTGAATTTTGTAGACTTACATAAAAACTCACTATGGCTTTGTATAAAATATGTAGCCTAAGTACTATAGAATAGAAAATTGATCTTGTCAGAATTACAAAGGCATGCTCCTCTGTATTCAGCTTCTTGAAGCAGAAACCATGAGGCACATCTTCATGAACAATTACCATCTGTGCAATGAAATTAGCGAAAGAGTTGTGCAACACTTTGTGCATTGCATTGAGACACATGGGCGCCACGTGGAGTACCTGAGGTTTTTGCAAACAATTGTAAAAGCAGATGGTAAATATGTGAAGAAATGCCAGGATATGGTAATGACAGAGGTAAGTTCTTCATTTGCATTTTACCAGCGTCACAGAAATGATATGCGCAAATATGTTTTTTGCTAACTTAGGATAAAAAATAAAAGTGTCCAACAATATAGTATGGATACTTTTTTGTAAAATTACAACAACTTAAGTCCAAATATATCTTGCTTCTCTCTAATGATGCAGTTCAGCTTATATGGATTTCATTATTTTCTAAAAAGAGTTTCTTTTTCTCTTTGATCCATAATGAATTTGTGTATTTTAAGCATGGATAAAATCTTTTTGGATCTTTAACATTATTTAGCAATGGAAGGCAAAATTTTCTGTTTTTAAGTGTTCCGTATTAAAACATAGACATGTAAACTCTACTTTTGTAGGCCATTAGTACTTGTTCTGAAATATATACAGTATATATACTCATATTTTCAGCAGACTTTAAAAAGAATCAAACAAATAAATAGAAACTACTTTTTAGCAGATTCAAAATGCTTACTGATTAAAGACTGCAGCTTTCAGTATCGATTGCACCTAAATGTAAAGAAAACAAAAATCCTCACAACTGGATCAGTAAATAATGTCATGATGAATGAAGAAAAGATTGAAGTTGTCAAAGGCTTAATTTTGCCTGGATCAACAATCAACATTCATGGAGGCAGCAGTCAAGAAATCAAGTGATGTATTACATTTGGCAAATCTACAAAAATACCTTTTAATTGTTGGAGAAAGATATCAGTTTGAGGTTTAAGCTGAGCCTGACCTAAACCATGGTATTTTCAGTAGCCTCATATGCATGTGAAAGTTGGACAATGAATAAGAAGACTATAGAAGAATAGATGCATTTGAATTATGGTATTGGAGAAGAATATTAGAATTTATCTTAGACTGCCAGAAGAATAAACAAATCTGTTTTCATCCACAATGCTCCCTAGAAGTCAGGATGGCAAGACTGTCTCTCATACTTCAGACTTATTATCAAGAGGCCCAGTCATTGGAGAAGACATCAAATTTGGTCAGCAAAAAAAAGAGGAAAACCCCCAAAGAGACAGATTGACATAATGGCAGCAGCAATTGGCTCAAACATAACAGTTACGAAGGTGGTGAAGGTATTTCGTTCTGCTTTGTATGGAGTTGCTATGAGTTGGAATCAGCTTGGTGGCACCTACTATTAACAATAGTGATTTAGTATGACTTGTTGAAATTTAGATATTTATAGAAAGTCCCAAACTAAAGAGAAATAAATGGATAAAGTGCTTCATTTTATTTTGATCGTTCTTGTTTGAAGTTAGATGTTGAAATTTATCAGAAAGTTATATTTAGGAACTAAGTGAGATACTTTTCAGAACTACCAGTGCTTTGAACCCATTTGGGTAAGTCACTGCTTCTATGACTCATGGTGCTTTTGTTGACTGGGTGGATTGTGTCAGCTCCATTCAGGGCTGGCTACCAAACAGTTATCTAGTAGATTATATTGATTTCAGGGATTTTCATGATTACATACTTTAGATTGAACCCTAGTGTGGCGCTGTAGGATAAGCACTAGACTGCTCTACAATTCAAACCCACCAGTCATTCTTGGAAACCTTATACAGGGTCACTTTGAGTTGGAACCGACTTGACGGCACACAACAACAACAATGGTAACAACAACATACCTTAGATTTAGAAAAGAGGAGGATATCTATATTGATACAACACAGTCCTACCTGCTTCATAGAAATCTTAAAATTATATCTTTGATGCAAACACACCTATGAATGTGGTGGAGAATACAAGGAGCAAAATGATGAAAATGCCTTAGACATTGCCAAACATCTTGAGGCAATGAGTTGCTGGGCTTGTGGGCTTAGGACCATAGTCTCATGAGACACCATAGTCAACTGGAGTAATACAGTCTACAAAGTCTACAGTTCTACATCCTACTTTGGTGAGTAGCGACTGGGATCTTAAAACTCCTGAGTGGTCATCTAAGGTGCAACTATTGGTCTTTCCATGTGTGGAAAAGTGAAGAGTGATAAAACTGAAGATGCTTGAAATCTACTAGTCCAATGGACTAATGAAACATGTGAACATCAGTCTTCACGATTCTGTGGCCAGAAGAGCTACATGGTACCCACCACCACTACCAATTGCTCTGAAAGGAATCACATAAGGTCCTAGTGGGGAGAATGTGGAACAAAATGCAAAATGACAAAAAAAAAAGACTGGGGACTCATTCTTCTGGTCAATTTTTAGCCAAGCAGTAGATGGGGTCACAAGTAAGTAAGGTGTGCTCACTGTGGGATTGTCAACCATTCAAGATCAAAAGGGCAACATTTACTTAAGGACAAAGTTCAGAAAAGTTGGAAAGGAGGTTGGAATGGAAGTAAGAAATAGAGTCGATGTGGAATTACTATAGTTGCACGGAGGGGACTGTAGTCATTGAAATGAAGCAAAGTATATGTGTTGTTGAATGTAAACTGATGTCTACTTTGTAAACCTTCACTCAATTCACAAGAAAAAGTACCCCCACAAATAAAAATCAAGAATCTTAGCATTAATTCAGTTTAAAGCCTTGGCGTTTTAAATTTAAATTCCTTTTAAACATTTTAAGTTTGAAATTTGCTTTTTTCTTATGAGCTTTTAAATTCATATTAGTTTTTCATTGCCCAGAAAATTGGGACATAATTTAATTTTTTAATTTAGAATTTCCAAGGAAAGAATTAAAATCTGAAAGCCTAAAATATTTAAGCCAGTCCTGGTGTGGATAAGCACTGTACTACTAACCACAATGTCAGCAATTCAAACCCACCAGCCCCTTCTTGGAAACCCTATACAGGATTGTTATAAGTTGCAACTTCTTAACAGCACTTAACAACAACAACAATTGACTTATTAAATGAAGTGCTTATATGTGCAAATAAATGTTTGCCTTCTTACATTACTTCTCTATATCATATGCCATTTTTGACACATGTAATCTCTCAAAAAAGCTTTCTATTTAAAGTATATTATCAATTTAAATATAGAAAACACTGTACTGTGCCTACCAAAATTTTCACTTTGGGATTAAAATATTGGTACTGGTGATAGAAAAAGCAATAAGACATTATTGAGTTAGGGGTTTAAAACTGCAACCTGCTATAATTCTCCACTATGATTATATGAACAAAATGGAAAGGAAAATTTATATCCTATAAATCTCTACTTATTCATTTATTTTTCTTTCTTTTCAAAATGTCTTCTTTTTCTTCTCATTTATCCCATGGATTCTCCTACCTCCATTCTTAACTGATACTATCATGACAAAGAAATTCCTAGATTTTGTAGCATTGAGCTCAATATGGTTTTTTACTTCTTCAGTCACTATTGAAATATGATGTTGTTATGTGCCGTTGAGTCAGTTCTGACTCATAGCAACTCTGTATACGGACGGTTTCTGAGGAGCAACTTGTGGATTTGAACCACCAACCTTGTGATTCAAACTCACCTTGCAGTCCAGTACTTTATCCCACAGTGCCACACCAGATCTTTTATTCTGCTTTTTATGTTCAGACTCAGACAAAGTAGTGATGAATAGAAGCAACATACTTTCTCTGATAGAACTACTGATTTTGGCAAAACAGGGAGTACAGTGACTGAGTGGGTAAAGCATTATACTAAAAACTCTAGGGTCAGCGGTTCAAACTAACCAGCCACTCTGCAAGAGAAATATGAGGCTTTCTGCTCCTGCAAAGATTTAAAGTCTCAGAAACTCTATACAGGGTCACTGTGATTCGGAACTGACTCAAAGCCAATTTAACAATAATAGCAACAGTACTTGAGTTACAGTATTTCTCATACTTTGGCATGAGAAATTAGAAGTAGAGGAAATAATGTTATTATTTTGGAGTTTAATTTCAGTGAGTCACTCACATATGCAATTCATTATCATGGATACCATTTATGTCTTGCCCCTACCAACATCTTCCATAGCTCCCTGACTGCTTTTGATAACATTCCTAACTGATCACTTGGCATGTGACTATTGCCTTTTTGACTCTTTTTGCCATCCTGTCTTGACATAAACAGCTTTAGTAATATTATCTATGTTTTTAAGAGAGATGATTGTGTTTTCAGATAGACTAAGTCTTTGGCAATAACTGTGAGGATAAACATTTGCATTACTATGTAATTTTTTTTTTTTTAAAATCATTTCAGTTGATAAATGGAGGGGAAGATGTTCTGATATTTTACAATGATCGAGCATCGTTTCCCATCCTTCTCCATATGATGTGTTCAGAGAGAGACCGAGGCGACGAGAGTGGACCCTTAGCCTACCACATCACACTTGTGGAATTGCTGGCGGCCTGCACAGAGGGGAAAAATGTTTATACTGAAATCAAATGTAATTCCCTTCTGCCCCTAGATGACATAGTCAGGGTGGTGACCAATGATGACTGCATCCCTGAGGTAGGTCTTTCAAAAGCTAGCAACTGGAAGATTATTATTTCTTTAAAGTTCTTAAGTACCAGCAGTTCACCACAGTAATATATTTATAATGAAATAATATATTTAGCCAAGGAATTGTATTTACCTGTATACTTAGAAAATTTAAAATGGTATGAATAGCTTTATGTATTAATTCTATAAGAAGTTATAAATGAGAATAAACCTTTTTAAAAATATAGTCAATACTGGTTTACTGGAAGCTACAACCTAAGACTCTCGAATTCCAAGTATGACTTTGTGATCAAACTAAAAAAACTTGACTTGTAATCTCTAGTATGTTTTTGAGCATAAACTAGATGCTTCATAAATAATTCATGCTCATTGATTTGGAGATGCTAGAATAGTGTGGTGCAGAACCTCATATTAAACTCTACAGGTATGTATTGATTCATGAACTATCCTTCTTTCTTGAATATATGAACGTATATTTTGCTTCAATAACACATCTTTTACTCTCTGCCCTGGTTCAGCTCTGATTTTAGAACTCAGCAGAAGCTGATTGTCTGTCAAATGATTCTATTAAGGAGATTTCCAGGAATGTACATTGTAATAATTTCTTTCTTTTTTTTTTTTTTCATTGTGTATTATTGCAAAGTTCATAGTGTGATACACTGATACAACATAAAACCCCACATTTTATATCACAGTAACATAAGGTAATCTTGTTAATGATGAAAGTGAAAGTATGTTTTTATGAAATTTTGTTGAATTGCTGACATTTCATACTAAGGGCAGTGTATGGTCTGAATTAGATTGAAATAAGATAACACATAGAGAGGAATACAGCATAGTGATTAAATCCAAGGTTTTATCCTTATTTGAGGTCTTTGAAGTTACTTATTATATTTGGCTACATATTGTCCCTCCCCTTTATCTAATTAACTCCTCTTGATCCTCTAGACCTTGATCAAGCTTTATTTCCTCAGGGAAGACTTGCTTGGCTTCCTTTAGTAGAGTCTATTATGTTGTTTTTGGTGGTGTTTAGTGCTGTTGAGTCAGTTCTGAGTCATAGCGGCCTTGTGTAAGGTTTCCAAGGAGTAGCCAGTATGTTTGAACTGCTGACATGGTGTTTAGAAGTCCAGTTCTTGTCCTACAGTGCCATGCCATGAGTCTGAATCTATTATAAAAGTTTTTAATTTCAAATTTGACCTCTGAACTCTATTAGATAACCATGTCTGTATTCCTCACCTACTTTCCCAAGATTTATTAGTTCTATAAGGATAAGATAATGTCTGTTTCGATTCACCATTATATTAATTTTAGTTTGATTCTTGGTGTGGCAGTGAAGGGCAAGTACTGGACTACTAGCTTCAAGGTCGGTGGTTTACATCCACCAGCCACTCTTTGGAATCCCTATACAGGATCATTATGAGTCAGAACTGACTAGATGGCACTTAACAACAAAAACACACTCAATAGATATGTTTGAATTAATAAATAGATGCATTAAAGATTGAGTTGGAATCCTGGGATGTTACTTCCTAGCTGTGTGACTCCTAACAGGTTACATAACCTTATTAGCTTTGGTTTCAACTATTTTAAAGTGAAAGAAGTCTAGTGCATACCTATACAAAGTGTTGAGGTATGTGCTATACAAAGTGTTGAGAGTGTTTTACATCTAGTAAAGACAGTCATATTGATGATGATGATGTGCTGAATGGCTCAGATGCCTCCCTATGCTAGGATCAGTCCTTGACATAGTCTTGGAGTTTTGTTTTACCCCTAAGCCAATTAGATATAAATACTATTGGCATGAAATCTGGCCCCATAATTCTTGTGCATCTAACTTGGATTACATCAATCACCAGAAGCTATTTATATTATTTTTATGTGTACCCATTGTTTGGGCAAGAGGATTGATAGCTTTCATCAGATTTTTATAACTTAAAAAAGAAAGAAAAGAAAACAAACAATACAACAACTGCCCTAGGCACTCTAAGGAATCCTGGTGTGGTGCTGCAGGATAATGCACTGGACCACAAGGTCAGTTTGAACTGCAAAGTCGGTGGTTCAAACTCACTAGACACTCCGTGGAAACCCTATACAGGGTCATTATGAGCCGGAACAGACTCGACGCCACTTAACAACAACATGTACCCTAAGGAACCCTGGTGGTGCTATGGGCTAGGCATTGGGCTGCTCACTGCAAAGTGGGCTGTTCAAATTCACCAGCTTCTCTGCAGGAGAAGAATGAGGCTGTCTGCTTCTTCTGTAAAGACCTTATAGCTTAAGAATCAACTTCACGACAATGGGCTAGTTTTTTCCACTTGATATATTGGAGTCTTGGTGGTACTGTATGATAAACACTGGACTACTAATCATAAAGTCAGCACCTTTCCGTGGGAGAACCCTCGGAAACCCTATACAGGGTCACTATGAGTTGGACTCAACTCAATAACAATAGGTGTGGTCTTTTGTTTTTTATAGTAATTGAAATATTGTTGAATGACAATAAAGTGTTATTTATTAAATATAATTAAACATTCTATTAGGACTCTACATCTAAATAAAAAAGGGAAATAGAAGAGTTCTTCAAATATGTTTGGAGGTTCAAACAATGTTAGAATTCTTTCCATCTCTTGTCTGTTGTCCTTCTGTGTTTTTGCCTTATTCTCTCCTTCTGAGCATAATTTTGCTCAAGCTATGTGGAGAAATTGACTTCTTGTAATTCAGATTTTCCTTATTCTACTTCAGCATCACTAGTAAGAATGGGGGAAAGAGAGTGATTTTGACTTCCAGTGTCTCATGCCCATTCTCACACTCATCACTGGGTCTATGGTAATGGGGTTCTAGGTCAAATCTATGGAAATGGGGCTGTTGGTGCAAGGAGAAGTGTATCTTCATAAAATATGGGGAATGGGATTGTTGTCTAGGCAGACAACAAAACATGTTTACCGTAGTCCATTTTAGGATCTTTCATGACTGATATTTGAACACAATTCAAAATACCTTTTATGTATTTGAAATTTGTACAGGTTAAAATTGCTTATGTGAACTTTGTTAATCACTGCTACGTTGATACTGAAGTGGAAATGAAAGAAATTTACACTAGTAACCACATCTGGAAATTATTCGAGAACTTCTTGGTGGATATGGCAAGGGTAAGCATTTGATCCACAATATACTAATTCATGTTTAATAAAGTAGTTGAGTCGAGCTATCAATATGTATTTTGACTGAATAGTATATATATATCTTTATGAAATTTTTAAATTAAACCTACTACCATTTAATTTACTACATCACATTCATGATAATGTAATAATACTCAATGAGTGTATAAGCATAAAATGCAGTGTTTCTAACAACAGATAAAGTTCGTTTTTACCTTTACAACTTATTCTGTCTGTTCTTTAATGTAATTTTGGTATTCTTTTTACATTGTCTAGAGAAGACACATGGCAGAGATCAATTTTTACTCAACATCATACTATGTACGCATGTAATTCCAAGTTATAAATGGAGACAACCTTAGGAAGTCTTGACACCTGCTCTTTGACACATATAGCCAAACTACTTGGCCCAACTACTCAGAGCTTACTGTTGTCTGCTGTTTCCTATTCAATCTTCCATAGAAGTGTGCTTTAGTAATTTAGTCATCTGGTGGGTTTCACTCATTTCAAGGTGATACGTACTGTGTTTTCCTTTGAATCTATTTCCTCTTGCTTTATTTTTTTATTTTGAGGGGAACTGAAGAGAAAGTGTGGATCTGGATGTTATTTTCTAAACACTGCCTGGCATATGTTATTGTTCCAATAATCTTGATTAAGTGAATGAATAGGGTCCTGGTGTGGTGCTATAGAATATACACTGGACTGCTAACTGCAACATTAGAGGTTCAAATCCAACAGCCACTCCTCTGAAACCCTGTGCAGGGTCACCATGAGTCAGAACCGACTCTATGGTCCCTGGCAACAAAAACAACACATGAATGAATGAATGAATGAAGGAAATCATTTTCTTGATAACCAAACCCAAATTAAACCCACTGCCATTGAATCCTACAATAGCTGCCCATGACAGAGTAGAACTGTCCCATAAGATTCCCAAGGCTGTATATCTTTATAAAGCTGACTGACACATTTTCTCCTATAGAGGAGCTGGTGGTTTTGAACCACTAACCTTTCAGTTTCAGCTAAGCACTTTAACTACTATGCTACCATGGCTCCATTTTCTTGATTAAAAAACCAAACCCAGTGTCAACAAGTCAATTCTGATGCATCATGACCCTATAGGACAGGGTAGAATTGCCCCTAGGGTTTCTAAGGCTGTAAATCTTTATGGAAGCAGACTGTCACATCTTTCTCCTGCAGAGTGGCTGGTAGGGTCGAATCATTTACCTTAAGGTTAGCTGCTGAGTGCTTAATCATGGGGCCACAACGACTGCTTCATTTTCTTAGTTGTTGTTGTTGTTGTTATGTGCCGTGGAGTTGGTTCTGATTCATAGTGACCCTGTACAGGGTTTCCGAGGCTGTAAATCTTTACGGAAGCAGAAAGCCTCATCTTTCTCCCGCGGAACAGCTGGTAGTTTTGAACTGCTGTCCCTGAGGTTTGCAGCCCGATTCATAACCACTACGCTACCAGAGCTCCTTAGGTAACATTTAATTTACTTTAATATAGTTTAACCTTTGATTTACATTTTGATTGCCGCACGTATATTTGTGTGCCCCTTATTTTAGCTTTTTTCTTTCTTTCTGTCTTGTTTTTTTTTCCTTTGAAAGTTATGAGATATAATTTTGAGTAATGTTGGATCTTAGAAGATAGTATGTAGTTAACTTAGACCTATCTTAAATTAGGATAATCTGTCTCAGTACCTTTGTCTTTCCCGCGTGTTCTGAGTGCTAGGGAAGTTTTGCATGGGACTCAGTTGTGCTTGGAAAGAGGGATTAGTGAGGTCCATATGTCTACTATCTTACAGGAATGGAACTGATGACTAGATATTAGCTAGTCTAGAAGGCGGGAGGACAAAGTGGATCTACTGTACCATTAACTGTAGATCTGAGAGCAACCTTCAAACCATACATTATGCCACTCCACGGATGCTTTTTTTTTTAAATTGTGAATTGGGTGAAGAGTTACAGAGTAGACCATCAATTTTACATTCAGCAATCATAAACATTTTGCTTCATCTCATGGAATGTAATAGCACTTTTCCCACTTCCTCCCTGTGTTTCATGTTTCCATTCCTCTTTCTTTCCTAACTCTTCTCAACTTTGTTCTTGGGCAAATGCTGCCCTTTAGATCTCAAATACTTGATTATTCTAAGATGTGTGTACCTCACTTGCATTCCTCTTATTAGCCATTGTTTAGTGATAATTGAGCTAAGAGGGAGTGAGTTCATTTACAGACTTTATGGGTGACTAAGGACCATGATCTTGGGTGTTCTGGTGTTTCTATCCTAACCAGAAAGCCTGGTCCCAGGTACTCTTTTTATTTAGGTGAGGTTTCCAAGTGAAATCTGATTATTTTCATCTGGTGGGTGTAGTGTTGTTTAGGAGTCCTGGTGTGGCACTGTGGGTTAATGCACTGGACTGCAAGGGCAGTTTGAATCATAAGGGTTGGTGGTTGAAACTCACTAGCCGCTCTTTGGAAACCCTATACAGGTCATTAGGAGTTGGAACCAACTTGAGGGCACTTAACAATAACAACAACAATGTTACTTAGAATGAGATGGAATTGATTTGATGGCAATGGTTTTATGGGTTTTGGTATTGTAGTGAGTGAGGTCATTGGTAGAGTCAAGCATGTATGAATTAAGGCAGTTCCTATTTACTTCACTTCTATAAAACTGAGGCGACTCATTGCCTTTTAGAAATTTCTCAGATAAATTTGCACATGTGGTGAAAACTTTTTTCTTTATAGACTGTACATACCTTTCACATTTACTCCATCGACCTTGTAAATGTCCTTGTGTCTGACTGACTCCAAGTATTTCCAGAGACCTTCAGTAACGGATGACTTATATGCCGATGACTGAGCTTTAAAATTGCACGTGCAGGAAGATATTAAAGAGATTATGGAGTGATTTGCAGAGTTGCACAGTGCTACAGACCAAAGATAAGTTTGAAAAAGACCAAGGTCACATTCTAGGCAGCATGAGCTGTAACACCAAGTGTTTCTTTCTTTTTTTTTTTTTTAATTTTTTAAACCAAGAGAGCAAATGATAACTTCCACCTGCGTGGGAGCACTTTTTTGCACTGATGTATTCATAAGGCAAATATATACAGGTATTTGTCTTTTCTGGAAAAAAAAAAAAGAATATGCATGTTACAAGTATTTTAATCATTTTGATGAGGTAGACAGTTAATGTTACTTATTATACAAAGGACTCAGAGAACTTTCACTAGGTCTTTTCACTCATCATGTCTGAATACAACAGTTTAGCTGTTCTATTAAGGTATTTGTTTCTTTCCTTCCCTCCCATTTCTCTTTTTATTATATATTAAAGCAATAGTTCTCTAAATCTTCATTGGGGTTAATAGGGGACAACTTTTGTTGTTTCAGGGAAGAAAAAGAAAGTCTGACTTTTCCATATTTAGGATCTGTCTCTCTCTTCCTCTGAAGAAAGATTAAGGCATCACCACCAAATTTCCAATTCAAGTTATAAAAAAGTATGGCTAAATATGTACAATATAGTCTTCTAAGCAAATATTTTATTAATAATGATTTGTCGAAATGTAGTGTTGTTCTTGTGTACCATTGAATCAGTTCTGACTCATAGTGACCCTGTATAGGGTTTCTGAGGCTATAAATCTCTCTCAAGAGTAGAAAGGCCTCATCTTTCACCCACAGAGTGGTGGATGAATTTGAACCCCCTACCCTGAGGTTTGGAGTCTGCAAACTGGTATGGTGCTGTGGGATAAAGCACTGGGTCACAAGGTCATTTTGAACAACAATGTTGGTCATTCAAACTCACCAACTGCTCCTTGAAAACCCTATACAGGGTGGCTGTGAGTGGTAACTGACTTGTCAGCACTTAACAACAACAACCCTGCGGCTAATTGCTCAAAGGATAACCTATGGGCCATTCCAAAGGTAACCCACTATGCCATTCAGTAGTATAGTAATACTCACATGTTAGCGTCTATCAGAGTTAACTTGAGGACTTGTTGAAACAGATTTCTGGGCTCCATCCCCATAGTTTCCATGGTATTAGAGTGTGGTGGATAAGAGTAGGGGTTTCAGAGGATTAGCCAGGCCAGAGCTCAATTATAGACTCTGGCTCTGATTAGCTCAGCTCTCTTAGACTAGTTAACTTTCATTTGTAAAATTAATGCAATCATAGCACATTCATAGGGTTACTGGGAAGAGTCAATGAGACAATGCATATAAAGCTTCTAGTGTGTGGCAAATAGTAAAAGGATTGGTAATATCATTAACAGTATCATTTAAAGGTTCTACGAAATTTAATTGTCTTATAAGCTTTCTCATGAAGCTTCCCCAGAACCTATACCGAATAGTAATGCTGGGGATAACCAAAGGGAGATAATCCAGCATAGGTAAAATCTAAAAGCATGTCTATGAAGTTGAACATACACAACAATGAGCTGACATAAGTAGCCATGCATGAGATGGATTAAACTCAGATGTTAAGGCAAGGTAATGAAATACTGGAATAACAAAAGGTCTTGCAATTCTTTTAGGCAGCTGGCTTCACTATTGAACAAGTGTAGTTGTTAAAAGCTCTTATATTGAGTCAGGTTTTATTTATTTTAAGTATTAACTTATTATCATGTCTGCCTACTCCATTGTTGTTGTTGTTAAGTGCCTCTGAGTTGGTTCTGACCCATAATGTTTCCCATAGGGTTTCCAAGGAGCAGCTGATGAACTTGAACCGCTGACCTTATGGTTCAAACTGACTTTGCAGTCCAGCACATTAGCCCACAGTGCCACGCCAGGTCTCCTGCTCCATTAGCATAGAGCAATTGAGTGCAGCCAAAATTTAGTTGCTCACTGTAAGCAGCATACTTTCCTAACTATTGATCTACAATGAAATGATAAAGTTAAACAACTTAAAGGAATCTCAGATCATTTAGTTTGGCCTTGTGATTTTCCCCTGGGGTCTAAGAGAGCTTAATTTGCCAGCATAGGCCAATTACAG